GACATGGACATGATAATCACCGAGCTCGCCGCCGCCCTGCCCTTGGACGTGCTGCCCGGCCCCGACGACCCGGCCAACGTGTCGCTGCCGCAGCAGCCGCTGCACACCTGCCTCTTCCCGGGCGCCGCGCCGTACGCCAGTGAGTGAGGCGGGGGTTGTGTCCGCCGTTATCCTCGCGCCAGGAGGGGGGGTTCCGCCCGCCGTTTCGCCCGCACCCGCCCGCTGCTGCTGCGAGCTCTCGAGTGGCTCGCGCGGCCGCAGGCGCCCTGTGCGCCGCCGCCGTCCCTGCATACGCGCAGCCTCGACCGGTCGCGGCTGCCGCCGCGCCGCTCCCCTCGCTGAAGAGCATCCTCCATTTGCAATAAGCGGCCGTTTCCAAAAGTCGCTGTTATGAAATGCTGCTGCTCTCCAACACCGCTGCTTTCAAGAGCCTCAGCATTCACCCAAAACCCCACGCACGCCTGCGCACGCGCACCTGGCCGCCAGGCTTTGTGCGCGCCACAAACCCCCACGAGTGCGACGTGGGGGGCGTGCGGCTGCTGGCCACCGCGGGCCAAACTATTGAAGATATGGCCAAGTACACTACAGGGGCAGACAGGTGGGGGCTATGGGCCACAGCAAAAGGGTTTGTACCAAAACGCCGTGGCCAGCCGCGAGCCGCACGGCCAGCGCGGATTTGGCGGGCGTGCTGCTGGCTCGGCATGTGCTGATGTGACCGAGCGCCGCTGACGCCGCCCCCTCGCGGCGGCGCCGAAAGCGGCGCTCTCAACCGTGTCCGCCGCCAGGCTCCCCGCCCCAGCACGTGCACGTGCAGCCGCCGCCCGTCCGACCACAAGCCCACAGCCCCCAGCCGACAGTGCGACGCCAAGCGTGATCTCAACCGCCTCGAGGGCCGTAACCGCCATAACTGCCGCTGTCACGGCCCGGCCCAGGCTCGACCTGATGGAGACGACGCTGAGGGGCCGCCACCTGGCGCCGACCGCGCCCGACACGCTGACCTGCTACCCCTTTGCGGACGACGACCCCTTTGTGCTGGAGGCCTGCCCCCACGCCTACGTGGCGGGCAACCAGCCCGAGTTTTCGACGCGGCTCATAAGCGGTGGGCGGGGGCGCTCGGCCGTGGCCCATTCTCAGAGGGGCGTGCGCGTGCGCCTCTGCCGCGTCATGCTGCGCGTGCTTGATGCGTTTGCTGCAGCAGTATATATTCTCTGCCTGAGTATGTGTTGACGGCGCGGCCCAGCTCGTGCGGTGCTGAGAACAGCTCGATTATTGCCCGGCCCTGTTGCTGCGCCGGCAGCCCTCCCCAACACCCCCATCGCTCGTCCCTCTCCCTTGCCCCCTGACACCCCAGCTAATCCCCCACCATGCCACCCTTTCATCAGTGCCAACCCCAACCTATGACGACCCACGTTCACCTCCTCAACCCTTGCCTACCCCCTACCTCACCAGGGGAAGACGGCCAGTCAGTGCGGCTAATCGCTGTGCCCCCCTTCGGCTCCACCGGCGCCCTGGTGCTGCTCAACCTGAGGACCCTGCAGTGCCAGCTCATGAATTTCGGGACCTACCGGCCGCCTGGGGGTGGCTAGGCCGGTGGCGGGAAGCTGCTGCGCGCCCTGATCCTGGCAGGGGGCCCGGATCGACCAGGGCGGCCGCCTGTGTGGCTGCCGCGTGCCGCGGCGCTCGGCAGGCGTCTGTGCTCTCTGGTGTGCACGGCTCGATTTCTGGCGGGGGCCGCCGGAAGCCGCCGCTGCCGTGCTGCGCCGGCGTGTAACTTGCGGCTGGCGTTGATGCAGATGGTAACGCTGTGCCAGCCAGTCTTGCCCAGAGGCCCAGCCTCGCGACACTCCCCGTGCGGTTGGCAAGGGGGGGGGTGCTGAAATCAGGGGCAAGAGTAGTTTGCCACCACAGGTGGCGTATGTGGACCTGTGACATGGTGCAAGTGGCTCCTCTTATTGTTTTGTCCCATGGGAGGCAGCCGGTTTGAAATCGCGGCGGCCGTCACCGATGTCACCCAGCAGCACGCAAAGCGGCCGCGCCTGCGTCACAAACACGGGCAGCGCACCGTGCTCTGCCTCTTTGACAAACACGAGCAACCATGGCGGCGCCTCCTGCACCAGTGGTAAGGCCCCGCTGAGCTGGTGTGCTCTCAGACCGCGCCCCGAACAACTCCGTGCCATGCTCACGTCGCTCCCTCCTGCCCTCGTTCGCAGCCGGTGCAGTGCTTCGGCCGCAAGGTGAGTTTCTTGATCGAGCTGAGGTCCCGGGGCGGTCGCTTGTCCTTTGCAGCAGCAGGTTGTGCACCGAGCTCCTGCTGCACCTGCCCTCGCAGAAATCGGCCGTGGCGGTGGCTTACGCTCGTCCTGGAAAGGGCCTTGTCAAGCTCAATGGTGCGTGCAGCCTGGGCTCTTGCAGGACGCGGGCATGTGTCGAGCAGCCGTCTTTGATGGCTCTGGGGCACACCGCAATCGTCGCGGGCAGGAGCGTCTATAGATAGCTGCCGTATAACATGGCAGCTGCCTCGTCGTGCAGCCCAAGCGTGGATCGCTGCTGAGCAGCGTTCTCCGCAGCGCAGCGCGACGACGGCAGTGCAGCGCACTACGCAGCGAACAGCCACTGTTCGGCTTTTCGGGGTTACGGACGGCCGTCGTGGTCAGTGGTTGAGCCCTGGCGTCATGCGCGGATTCTGCAGAGCCATTACGTGCTGCAGAGGAGCGTTGTCGCAGCAAAGCGTCCCTCCACAGCTGGGCAAGTCAGCTCGCAAGCCGCTTTGGCTGGCGGCGGGCAGTCCACTTCGCCTGTGCGGGCAGCACGCCCTTCATAACAACCACATCAGACCATTCTCTCTGATGACGAGCGACGGCGCTGCCGGCCACCATGGCCGCTGCAAACAGCCGCAGCAGCACATTGCGCCGGCGGCGCGGCCCGATGGCAGAAGCCAGCTGCTGTTGAGAGCTGTTTGCTGCTGGGCGGCGTATCACGTCATATGTAGTATGGCGACAGCGGCCAAGCCCGTGGCAAAGCAGGCAGTCGTTCCACCTGCAACAGCAGCAGCAGCAGCAGCAGCAGCAGCAGCCGCAGCGCTGGCCAGTGGGCGCAGCAGCAGCTGCGGGCGCAGCGGCCCCACTGCGACGTATTCAAACAACTCAGCGGTGGCGGCCCAAAACTGGCCCCCCCGCCCTGCGGCAGCGCCCTTCGCGTCCAAGCACAGGCAGCAGGCGTGGTGGCCTGGCGGCAGGCGTCTGGCATATCACGAACCGCCAGATTAGCGCAGCCCCCTGCTTGCCCTCCTCCACCTCTGCTCCCGAACCCACCTTTTCTCACTCCTCCAAACGGCGCCCTCCCGCGCCTCCCCGCCCAACTTCACCCAAAGCACCATTTCTTGCCACCTCCACCTCCCCCCCCCCCAAAAAAAAACACCACCACCACCACCACCTAACAGCACCCGCTGGGACCTCATGCATGCCCTTTCACTTGACAACCGCCCGTCTTCCCCCTCTCCCCGCTTCAACCCCCGGGACCCCAGGCATCCCCCTTGAGCTGGTGCAGCCCGAGGCGCTGCGCTACAAGGCCTTTGAGCCGCTGCTGCTGCTGGGCAAGTCCCGCTGGGGCTTCCTCGACATCCGGCTGCGCGTGAAGGGCGGCGGCCACGTTAGCCAGATCTATGCGATCAGGCAGGCGATCTCCAAGGCGGTGGTGGCGTACTACCAGAAGAACGTGGACGAGCAGACCAAGGGGCAGGTGGGCGCTGAGGAATGGGGTGGGGTAGGGGCGGCGAGGGGCGCGGCCAAGGGTTGCCGGGCAGCGCAGGCTGTGGCACAAGCCAGCCGGCAGCGAGCGCGAGGGACGGTGACGCGATAGTGGGGCGAGGTGTTTTTCTGCCATGAGCTGGCCGGCAGCCTGGGAGTGGCCGGGCGATGCAGCCGACTGTAGCTGGTTCGCAGGTGTACATTTGTGCACGCAACAGCGCGCACAAGCACGTGTGTGTGCACATTGTTGTGTGCCCGCTTGTAAGCGTGGAGAGAGAGAGAGAGAGTGTGTGTGTGTGTGTGTGCGCGCGCGTGCTTGCGCACGTGTGTGAACACATGTGCGCACACGCATGTGCGTGCATGTGCACACGCACATGCACGCAACCATGGACACTATGCCTGGCAACATTGCAAGGGGCATGATAAAAAATGCGCCCAAGCGGCAGGCGGATGGGCGCGACACGTGTGATGGATCCCCAGTTGCGTTCTGCTGACCCATCGCAAGGTGGTCGTCAACGCAGCAAGTGCAACCCTCAAAACGCCAAGACTTTGACCGCATGCCACCCCTGGCGCCCGTCCCTGGCCCTCACCTTTACCCTCTTATTGTCGTCTCGCACTGCTCATTCACTGCCCCTCATCCATTCGAACGCCCTGCCCATCCTCTCGCCCACCCTGTCCATCCGCTCATCCGTACCGCCCATGCAGGTGAAGGACGTACTGCTGCAGTACGACCGCACCCTGCTGGTGGCCGACCCCCGCCGCGCAGAGCCCAAGAAGTTCGGCGGCCGCGGCGCGCGCGCCCGTTTCCAGAAGTCGTACCGCTAAAAGCGTACCGAAGCCATGGCCCGCGCCCGATGGCCGCAGTGCTGTCGTTTGTCTCTGTCGGGCCCACGGCCGCGAGGGCCTCGGACGGCGGCGGCGGCGGCAGCGGCAGCGGCTGCTTGAGTTGCGGCCCGGGTGGCGCGGGTGCAGCGGCGGCGGCGGCGGCGGCGGCAGCGTAGGGCCGCTTGCTCGCCTCCAGCGCAGTCTGTGTAACGATCGTTTGACCGAGATGGCCATGCTGGTGCTGTTGAGCCGCGTTTTGCACAAGCTGAGGATGGGGGCAATTAGCAGGCAGGCCCGCAGGCCGGTGGGCAGGCTGGGCAGCAGACCGGCGGGCAGGGCGGCAGGCAGGCCAGTGGCAGGCAGGGAGTAGGGCGGGCAGGCGGGCGGGCAGGCAGGCAGGCGGGCAACATATATGGTGGCTTATGGGCCTTTCCCTCACCAGCCAAGTCCTATACAAACGACAACAACTCACTGCAAGGGCAGCGGCGCCAGCACCAGCAGAGCCTTGGTTGGTTGTCGCACCGCCCTTCCTTCCCGCAATCACGTCATGGACATCTCAAGCACAGAGCTTGACGTGGATGTTCAGGTCGCGAGCATGCGCTCGCTTCACAAACCGATAGGCAACGATGTCGTGTAAAGCGGCATGCTCATTTATACGTGCGATTGGCTTTGCGCCGTGGCCGCCCATCGCCGAGCAGTGCCGGCGGTCAATGCAGGCGGCGCCCGGCAGAAGCAGGCGGCGCCTGGCAGAAGCAGGCGGTGCAAATGCATGTGCGCTTGCCGTAATGCGCCCAGACACAAATGTTTTTGTTTCTTTTTGAAGTTGAACTGTAATGTTGTATTGTCTAGCACAATCATTGAGATCCAACTGGCCTTCGAAAGCAGCAGATCGACCAGGATCCGCTGGAAGTACGCCAACACTCCGGCTGGTCCGCGTCACAGCGTCGCCGCTACAACAATCCCCATATTTCTTTAGCCCAAACATTCAGCAAGTTGCTGGCTGCGCAGATCAAACGGCAGCGCCGGAACCTGCTGCCAATCGCTTAGGCTCGGCAGGATGGCACATAATGTCGGAATTCTGGGCATGTACCTGTACTTTCCGCCCTACGTGGTGCGCCTCCGGCAGCGATGGCGCCAGCCGGACGGCTGTGCGAACGCGATTGCAGCGGCGCTGTGTCTGCAGCACGGCACGCGTGCCCCCCAAAGGCATCTCGCCCTGATTGTCAATTTCCGTGCTGGTGGCCACTGATTCAATGGAGGCGCATCAGCGACCCTCGTGGCGGGGCGATCCGTCGTGGAGTGTGGTTAGAAATCCAATCTTCCCGCCGTCGGCCAAACTTCTTCCCGCCCATTGACCAGCATCGCAGCCCCACTGGGTCATCCAGACACTCCCGCCCCATTGCAACCCCCGCCCCCGACCCGAACAATCCCCTCAAAACCACCACATTTTCCGCCGTAACCCCCGCACCACTCACCTCCGATCCAGACCCCCTCAACGCACCCACCGGCCACCTGGCCCCCCCGTCACCCGGTCATCGCCATCCTGTAATCGCGATCAGACACCCCCCGTTTGGGCCCAGGACGAGCGACCCCCTACTTCCCCACCCCTTCCCCTCCGCCCCAGGTCTCCCAATCCGACCTCGAACTTGCAGATGGGGTGCCCGGCAAATATACAGAGGGGCTCGGCCAGATCGAGCTGGGGTTTAGCGGAGATCGCGAGGATGTGGTCAGCATGGCGGCCACAGCCATGCTGAGGCTCATGGAGGCCTACGACGTCCGCGCGACCGAAATCGGCAGGCGAGCTCGCGCCCCTGCTTCGCGTGGGCGGGCGGGCAGGCTGGCGTTTATGCGCGCGTTGGCATGGTCGAGGACAGGAATGGGTTCGGGGGGACGCGCGCGGGGCGGCGGCTGCTGGGCGCCAGCTGGCGGCCTTGTGCCCGGCGGGTGTCGGCCCGGGCCCCCCCGCCTGTCGATTGAGTTGTGGCGGTACATTGCGTCCCAAATGGCACGCATGCCCGTGCGCATTTGACAGGCAAAGTGCGTGTGTGTGTGTGGTGTCGGGGGGGCAAACTGGCAGGCGGGTCCTTGAGCAGGCATGAATCGGGGGTGCGGGGCCAAGGGCGGCTCAGGAGCGCCATTGCGGCCGCCACGCCTCCTTTTTGGGGACAGAATGGCAGGTGGGTGGTCGCCTGCCGGCGCTTGGGCCTGACGCCCCGTCGCATCACACCTCTCAGCACCTCATCGCAAGGCAGCATGTATGCATGCTCATTGCCCCACCACCCCCCTCCCATCCCCACCCCTCCACCCCCGCAACCAGGGTGGAGGTCGGCACCGAGACGGCGGTTGACCGGTCAAAGTCCATAGCTTCCTACCTGACTAAGTACCTGAATGACGGCGGGAACTTCTCCGCGCAGGTGTGGCGCCCGGCCGCCTGGTTTCGAGAATGGGCGAGGCTTGGGTGCTGCCGTGGACGCCCGCACCACGTTTCGGTTCAGAATTCAAAAATTCAAACACTGCGCGAGTCAAGGGCGCCTGCTGCACGAACTCATCGGACCGACGCGGTTGCTGTTGTTTCGCTGCGCCCCGGCCGCCGCCCCAGGGCAGCGACAGCGTGCACGGGTGCTTCGGCGGCACGGCGGCGCTGCTTCACGCGGTGGAGTGGGTGGGCGGCCCCGGCTGGGACGGGCGGCTGGCGCTGGTGGTGGCTACAGACGTCGCGGTGTATGAGGAGGGGTCGCCTGCGCGCGCGACGGGTGCGCGCGCGCGTGTGTGCGTGTGTGTGTGTGTGTGAGTGCGCGCGCGCGCATGCATGTGTGTGTGTGTGTGAGTTGATCGGGGAGTTGAACAAATAGCTGGGGGCGGTGTGTGCGCAGCAGGGCCGGAGGGATGCCAATACGTGTGCGGGTAAGCGCACGCTTGCATCTGGAAGAAGAGGGCAGGGGCGGCGTGTACTTGGGACATTTGCAGTCCAAGGCCTGGTGGTGGCGCAAGTGATATTACTGCTTGCATTCAACACAGGTACAGTTGTGGCTTGCCACGCATGCATGCGCACACACACACACACACACACACACACACACACACACACACACACATGTCGGCCCCTCACCAAACCAGGCGGCGCCGGCGCCGTCGCAATGCTGGTGGGCCCCGGTGCGCCGCTCGTCGTCGAGCCGCCCCCCTGGCGGTCAAACTTCAGCGCCCACACCTTTGACTTCTTCAAGCCGGCCTCGAGCCCCGGCGGCTACCCCGTCGTGGACGGCCCGGCCACACTCCATTGGTTCACACGTGCCGCCGACGCGTGCGCTGCTGGACTCTGGGAGTCTGTCTGCGGCGGCGGCGGCAGCGCGCTGTTCGGTGCTGCGCGGCGCGGGCTCGTCGCCGGCGGCGCGCCCGCGCCGCGTGCGTCGGAGCGGCGGCGGTCGGCCGACGTGGAGCATGAGCAGGAGGAGGAGCTGTGGCGACTGGGCATGGGCCCGCAGCCGCTGTCCGCGGCGGCGGCGGCCGCGGCGGCACGCGCCGGCGGCGGCGGGGGGCACTCCCGCGCCGGCTCGGGCTCCGGGAAGCACCTGCACTTGCCGCAGCAGCAGCAGCAGCAGCAGCAGCAGCAGCAGCAGCAGCAGCCGGACAGCGACGACTTCCCCTCGACACCGCAGTCCGAGCCCTCGCGCCAGGGATCCTTCGACAGCCGGATCGAGCGCCGC